TAAAATATAAAAGATCCTGAAAATTCTACCAAAAAAACCCTGCTTTAAGCAATGATCACCCACTTTTGTCTGGCATCTCTAGTGTAACTTATTTAAATAAACTAGTACTTCAAGGTTTTTTTTACCTTAATAACAGCTTAGGAATTAATAAAGTCCACCCTAATGAAATAGTGAGGTCAAAGGGCTTAACTGTTGCATATCATCACTACGAATGATAAGGTAAATGCAGAATGAAATAAAGAAAAAACTTTTTTGCAATTCTTAACTCTTCCTGTCTGTTATGTGAAGAAACAATGGAGTGGCTCTAAAAACTTTTAAACTAAGATCATGGTGTAAATCAATGCGCTAGCATTGTAATACAGTGGTTTACTTGAGCAGATAGATATTCCGTCGTTTGAAACCTAAAAATAAATTGATTTTTTTTAAAAGCTTTTTATGATCTTTGCCTCTTTTTCAATAAGAAGTTTATATATTAAACTGCTTCTATTAACTTTATTAATCTTTTTAACAAATCTACTGCATTCCAGTGTTCACCTTTTAAAGCTACAAGATGATGCTAAAATAATTGTAGCGAAGTTAGTTACATCAGAGATGCTAGTCATCATAAAGCTTTCCACCACTCATATACAAAATGTGAACTGTCATCAGTTAATATATCTACTATAACTACCTACTGTCATACCTGGTTCTAACTTTATGCAGGCAATTAACTCATACAAGTAACCTAAATAGATTTTAGTTCCAAAAGAGGTTCCAATGTATATTACATTAATTTCTGAAGTTGGTAAGCTAGTTATGTTCTAGTGTTAGGTTATAAACTTCTACCTCATTGTAATCACTTTTTGTGTTGTATAAAATGTATGCACTCTGTGGTGTAGAGTTGTACAAGTAGTGCTTCAAGATGCATGTTCCTGTTAATAGAATAATATTTTTCTAAAACTATATCAACACGTATAGTACATGGAAAATAAACCACTCAACTTTATCTGTATTTCTCTATAGGTTTTGCATGGACAACCAAATTTATGAATACAGTCTTATGTTTTTGAAGCATAAGACAGTTATCTGAATCTTTGCTACCTGACATACTGTCACATTTTCTTTCCTCTATTTGCTACTTTAAAGAAACTCTTTATATTTTAAATATCACTTCCCCTCTCAGGGGTGAATAAAGAACCAAAGCTGTTTTGTAAACAGCTTTGCTGGATTAGAGTTGTGTCTCTAGTTGTATATATCATACACTATACAGAGAAACCACTTTAGAACACCAGTGAAGTTTTGTTAAAGAAAACAGCCCAGGGCCATTTGAATACGTGGAAATTCAAAGCAAAAATTATGCTTTTATCAACACCAACAAAATTTTTATGAGGGTGGAAATACACTCTTTAAGGGCTGTGTGCTTGTCCTCTCTTCTGGTTGCTTAGCAAAAGGTAGTTCTGGCTTCACTGGAATAATTTTGCTGTCATTCCATACTCACTGCTTCTTTAGACCCTGGCATAACATAAGAAAGGAAAATGCTACTGTGCCTCACCTGCTAGTCTTCCCTGATTGCCAGATCTCCCAGATGTGGCTTTTTAATATTGTTATAGTAGTCTGATTCAGTAGACATATCAGTTTATCTCACACATCTAATCTAGAGGATTATAATTTAACTACAAGACATTTCCTGATTTTCATATTAGCCAATATGAAAATTGCAATGCCAAGTATTTAATAATGCCTTCCATCAGCTCCCAACCACATACATGGTGTTCTTCCAGGAATGGAGATGAAAATTCATTTCCAAATTTGGTAAAGAAATTCAGGGACAGTACAATCTCCATGCATTGCACAAAGTAAATGCCACAATTCGCTGATTGAGCAGTGAATCCCGAATGAGAGTCTGTTTCTCAAATAAATCTCAGAAGGCTCCAGCAGTCTAGGTTGAACTGTAGAGAAATTTATCCAGCTCTACTGTTATACACGTATCATGTTGCCCTGCAATACACCGATATGTGCAAAAGCCCCATCAGATTTTTTTCTTTACCCTGCACTGCTGAACGCTTGCCTAACTTTCCTGTCGGTACTTGAGAATCTCTCAGTTTTGTGTTCATCAAGCTTGTGTAACTGTACTCTTCACGGGGTTATTTCATTGAGTTAGGTTTAATGACATGGTATGTGCATTACTAATATTTTTCGGTGTGCTTTTGACTCGTTTGCCTTAAGGTATTGCTGAATAGGGAGCTACTGTGAGGACAGTCCAGTCACAGTGAATCTTATGCATTACTGCTAGTGGATAGGACCTAAATTTGATTGGGGTAAGTGAAGAGTAACAGGCAGGAAGTCTGGGGGAGGAACTGAGGCGGGATGCACTGAAATGAACTTAATGCTTGCCAAGGATTCAGAGTGGTAGTCTGAAAAACAAATATCCTGTTCTTTCTTCAAACAAGAATGTTTCTGTGAGCATTGTATTGTTTTATCTCATTTATTTAATCTCTTTCAGAAGGCAGCCTGTGTAGATTAATTAGGAATTGTTTTCAAAAAGCTTCTTGAATATGAAAACAAGTGCTTTACTTTATTATTATTTGGTCCTGTGAGTAAAAAGAACTATACCAATTTGTATTGGACGAGTTAGAAAGTCAGTCATGGCCCAGTTGGGTTCTTTTTTAAGGCTTTCTTGGACAAAGGTATAATGTGCTATTCTGTTTGTGGTGGGCTTCTATTTCTGTGTCAAAAATCACTTTGTATATAAAAACTGAAAACTCAGCTACAGAAAAGGACTCTCAAATTGGGTTTTCAGTTAATGCCCCCAGTTTTGAATTTAATCCTGGATATTGTTTGAAGATATTACTATTACTCTGTTATACAGTGGTTCTATTTCTCCTATGTTTCAATTCTTGCTCCACTGAAGAAATCGGAAAAATCTGTCCCCCGGCAGACACATGCACTCACAAGTCCGCTCACATATGTGCAAGGATCCTGTACAAACAAACTTAACGGCTTTCATTAAAAGTTTGGCTGTTTCTCTCTTTTGATACCTTCCATTACCAAACATGCCCCAGGAAATCTCTCTTTTTAACGTACGCCAGAAAGCAGAACCAGTAACCTCCATTTAATTCCCTAGACCGAAGAGGGTTTTCAGAGGGTGACTTGACAGACCCTTCCCATCAAGCAGTTAGGCTGTTTGCTTCTCATTCTTTTCCCTTCTCTCGGATTGAGAGAATGCCAAGAGATTGAAGGCCTCTCTTGCTTCCCTCACATTTTTCCCCAAATTTCATTGCAAGAGCATAGTGTATTCTCTAATTTCTTTCTTTCCATCTCAGTCAGCAATGAGGCCTAAATGATGTTTCTAAGCCACACAGTTACTTCTGTAATGGATATTCACCTCATTCTTGATGCATGATCAAAGCACTGTGCTATTAGCTTACCATTCTTCCATGCTACTTGAGATATTGAGTTTTAGTTTGATAACAGCTCTTCTCCCCTTTTAACAAGACAAGTTTCTCACAGTTCCAGATTTTCATGCAACAGATTTCACAGTTGCTTTGGCAGTTACTGAAGTTTAAAAAAAATTACTTTTTACATTGTTTGCTTTTAAGATAACAGCTGACTTTTACTGGTGTTGTTCATGTTTTCAGATATTTTCTTCCGTGAGTGTGTGTGAACCTAAGGAAAAAAAAAAACAACCCCCCCCCCCCCCCCCCCCCAACAAACCAAAACCCAACCCGCCAAGATTTTCATAGACATACAACACTAGGAACTCATTTTAAAGTGGCAAAAAACCAGTCTAAGACACAACGTAAGCTTAAGAGTAGACATTTCTACCTATCTTGTATATAGTGGATTCTCATGAGATGTTTGGATATGAATCAGTCAAAGAAAACGTATCAGGAATCTTTTTACATAACTCAGCCTCAGTAGAATAGCTGTAATGCAGCCCTTCTCCTTGAGCCATGTCCCATCAATCTTTCCATGGCTTCATTTCAGGTTTTGCCCATTACTGTGGCATTAGCAAGCCCTACTATGTTAACTTGCTTGTCCGTTTCAAGGAATATTTACACTGAGATGAAACCTGATGTGGCCTTCTAATACATGAAAGGGTGGGTGGGGAAAGAAAGACAAAATGCTCCCAAGTGTCCATCAAGGAAAATATCTCTGAAATAAAATCTGACTGTGTGTTTTCTCTGAAAGTGAGGGGAAGACACTGAGAGTCCTGTAGTGCAGATGTGCACAAATGAGCTGCTTAGGTTCTGGTAGTGGTCTGGTTTGGGGATCATGGATTTCACAGGGGACTTACCAGTCCTGTTCCTCTGCTGGGCTGTGAAAGTTTTGCTGAGCTGTGTGCTGCTGCAGCTAGATGATTACTAAAATGAGAATGTACTGGTGGAGCTTTGTACACCTATGAGAAGTATTGGTTTTTGGTTTTTTTTTTTTTGTGAAGGAGAGTAATTCTGTATGCAAGAACATTATTTTGTTTGACTTCTATTATTTGACATGCTAAGTGTTCATAGTTGGCTACATAAAATGTACAGGCTAGCAAGAAGGCCAGGAGCTTCTTCAGACTCTAAGACAAACTTCAAGGAAAATGTTTTCCTGAGTGTGTGTAATCATTTATCTGGGTCTTCTCTCACTATTTCAGGCAATGAAGGAATTCACAGAATCACGTCATTTAATTTTTTAACCCATTTAATATGCACTAGTATTATGTACTACAAATTTAAAACCTAATATGGCTTGTTTATGATGTAAAAGTAAATACGATCTTTCAGAATGCTTTCCTAAGCTCTTTAGTCACTGATTTGACCTTTTTTTTTTCCCCCCACCAGGAATCTTTAATGACTGGAAAACTCAATGGATCATGTTTTTATAATCTAAGCTATTTTTACATTGACTGTGCTGTAAACACATGGAGGAGCTGTAAGTAAATGTTCTGTACTGCATGATGAATTGGATTGCTACAGTCTGGAGGAAAGCAAAATAATAATTTCATTTCTGTGGTGATTAGCGTAGCTTGTGGTACAATGCCAGAAAGACTAACGGAAATGCTTATGGATACGTGGACTCCATTAATAATATTATGGATTACTGTCCTTCCTTCCATTTATATGACTCCAATGAATCAACCTCAAGTACTACCAAGTGGATCCAATACAGGACTAAAAAGACTAACTGAAGAACAAAGAGTTTTGAATCGTTCCAAGAGAGGCTGGGTTTGGAATCAAATGTTTGTATTAGAAGAATTTTCTGGACCTGAACCAATACTAGTTGGCCGGGTAAGGCAAGATTTGTTTTTTTTCCTCTGAGTATGTAAATGTATAGCATGTGAAGGTCTTCAGTCATGTGGACCCTTGAAGAAATTCAAAGTTGAGGTGCTCTGTTATTCTGAAATTCTTCTCTAATATCCATACATTTGTGCTTTAAATGTACCTCATTCTAAGGATATGGTTTTCTGGTTAGCTAACCTGCTATTTACAACAAAATTATACATATTCCATTTGACAAAAATACACAGGCATGTACACATCCTTTCTTTAATATCGTTAGTCACCACTCTTCACCTCTGTGAGCTAAAGATTTTCACTAAAGCAGCTTTTTGTAATATGTTCCTATTCATTCCAAATACGTTGCTATTCATTCATTCAAAAAGGTTGTTACACCTATAGGTCATTTTCTATCTCCAGCCTGATTACACAGAAGTTATTTATGCTCTGAGAATTTTTAAAAATAAAAAGGCAAGTGTGGTATATACAGCCAATTACAAGGTACTAGTTTATAGGGAGGTCCTGGTATGCATATATATGAAATAACATTATTGCCACAGATTTTGTAATTTACTTTCAAAGTTAGAAAGATAACACAAAGAAAATGATAATGTTTTTCTATGTGTCCTAGCTTGCCTGTTGCCTTAAACCTTTGATTGTTGCCATGTATTAGCTTATTCTGTAGCTCAGTGTATTACCCCCAGTCAGTGAATCAGCCTTGCACTTTCTCTAAAAAGAGGTCATGGGTCATCTGCATTCATCAGGAATGAATTCTCTTTAGAATTATTCTTAGCAAAGAATTATCTGTTCCCAAATGCTTGTTTGGCCTATAGCGAGCAGTTATAAATACCCTGATTGTTTATTACTAAAGTTCAGTTGCCTTTGAATAACCAGGTATATTATTGTCATATTACCTGGCTACTGAAATTGGGTAAAAAAATCTAGAGAACAGAAATTATGGATATCAGTTAATCTCATAATAATTTTGGAAATTCTCTAGGTAAATTAATAGCATATAGTATAATACAGGTGCTGTCAATAGCTATATCTATTATTGAAGAGAACACAGATCACGTGTATTCCTAAATTTTCCCAAGTGTAGCTACTTTCTGGTCAAAACTTAGGGTCAGAAGGTGTAATGAGCTTTGTATCCAGTGACTTTTGAGTGCTATGTTAATTTACATTTATATCAGGTATTATATATCTGTTCTCATTTGTTTTTCTGTGGTTAGTAACATAACTCAATTTCAGAGAGATAGCGGTATGCTTAATTTTGGATCTTAAAATATTTTATCCAACCCATTCTTTTTAGAATATTTTTGTCAAGCTTTTAAAATTATTTTGAGTTGCTTTTGAGTAGCTGGGGAGAATCCCAAGTTTGTACTTCATAGTACTTTGATTTTCAGGGTGTATCCAAGTCTTAATATTTCTACAATATTAGGTTTTTTTGGTGGATATAATATCCTGAATTGTTCGAGTCATTAGTGAATAGAAGTGGGTAAGTTAAACTAAGCCAAGCCAATAAAGACATTATCCCATCTTCTGCTGGCATTTTGAATAGAATTAGCTACTCTAAAATGCTGTGACAATCTATTTGTTGAGACTGCTGCATAATTAAAACACTGCATGATATAGATGGAAATGAGCAAAAAGTGAAATTTGCTCCCATAGGGAGAAATCCTTGGTTTACTCATGAAAATGGCTTAAAATATTCTTGTAATTCTTGTCTGTATTTTTTTACTCTCTCTAGAAAAATCATCTGTATTTCTGACCTATTTTTCTTTCCTAAGGTTTACGAGTAATACGGGTGCTTTCAAACTCTGCTGTAGTCAGTGGGAACAGAGGTACTCCACACCTTTCAGAGCTGCTCTTAATCCTTCCTGACTATAAAGTAGCAACTCCCTCAATTATAGTTCTTGGCAATCCTTCTTCCCAAAACTTAAAGGTATTCAGAATGTCACAAGCAAAATGCTCTCGTTCTCCATGAAGTTGGGCTATGGTTTGTCCTCTGTCACCCTCGCTGGTTTCTTATCCATTGCAATTTAAAAATAACCTCCTTTTCAGAACTCACAGTAGATTTGCACTTACCTAGTTCCTCCTCATCTCTTTTCTACTTACACTCTTCTTCCAACCTTTCAATTTTGTTGCCTGCCAAAGGATTTGCCCACTTGGGGTATCTCCTTTGTTCTATGACTTTCTTTATCAACTATTTTTCTGCCCTATGACTTACCTTGATTTTCTTTTTTTTTTTTCTTCTTTTCACCAGACTTTGAATGAAGGGCACTCTGTAACATATGATATAGTGAATTAATGCAGAGAGGCTTAATATTGTGGAGAGAATGATACGAAACATGTATGCTGCTTATTTGCTGCATTTTGTGGACATAAATATGCTTTTGTGCCATTATAGAGGCAATGTTGCTTGTATATGCTTTTTACATGTTCAAAGTATTAGTGTAATCTCCAAACAAATATATTATTTGATAGTTAATTGCTTCAAAGGGAACATTCTTGAAGCAAATCTAATTACATAGGTTTTGGTTGCAGTTTTCGTCTTTCTACTGTATTGTAGAGTGTACATGGTACTTTTCATAGTCATGTATGATTTTTACAAACATGTAATTACGTGCTCTAGATAGTAAATACAAAAATAAGGTTTTGCACAAACAGGAATAATATACACACAAGCAGAATTTGGTGTATGTTCTCAAATGTACCTTTAAAGCCTACTGAAAATTCAGCTCTTAGGAACTGCTCAGAATAATATAGATACTTAAATAATGGTTTTCATGATAGTGGGTGGAAAGGCACTGAGTAGCAGCATTTGATTATAATGGAATTGAAATATATATCAGCAAAATAAAACTGAAAATTGGATTAATTATAATAAACATAAACAGAATACAAATCACTTTCTAAATAAAAGCCTGAATATAGAGTCTATGCATTCATTCGGTTAGTTTAAAACGTCTCATACCAAAGATTCTTGAAGTACAGAGAAAGTTTAGCAAGACAGGATTTACAGAGATACGTAACATCTTTTATTAGGCTGCTCAGTTTTTCCAGGAGAAACAGCTTCTTGGCATAAAGACCCTTCTTCAGAATTTTAAGTGTTGCAATACAACTGCACACTCTTCAAAGGTACTTATTCATTGCTGTTCTGCATGAATATATATTAATAAATGCATTCCCAATGTATTTGCTCTAATAAATGAAAGAATCTGGGGTGAGACTAATAGGAGGATTTAATGTGACTACCACTAAAGTGTGGTAGTTTTCTTCAATGACTCAAGTAAAGGACAGGAGAAAATCTTTTGCTTTCATTCTTGAACTTCTTACAATAAGTTTGAACAATATGCACTTTTAATGTCATATTCAGTAGGATCGAGCTCAAACAAAATAAGCAGCTCTACTTGAGTTCACGCATCTGTAAAACGTATGAATACTTATCTCTTAGGGTGATTTCTGAATTTACGAGATTATTCTATAAAATGCTGCAAACATCCTAGTTTTTCTTTTTTGTCTGTATTACCATTGCATTTATTTTGAAACATAGTATTGTAATAAATTCCATATTGTTTTGATCTGTACATGTAGAAATGTATATATGCGTTTTGAGAAACCTACAAAGTAACCTTTTTCATGTTCGTGTGACATACTTCAATACAGAAAGATAGATTTACAAATGCCCTTTCATACTTCATTTCTTTTTTTTTTTTTTCCTTCTTCATCCATAGAAAGAGGTACATACTTTACAAGCTACTGTGTCTACTTTAGAAGACTCCATATACTGCATATTGCTGTCAGCAGTTTGCAGGCCTCCCAGTGGCTGACAACCTCATTCAAGTGTAGAGTGATATGTCTTGTGACACTGCATGCTGTCCCTGTGGACTTGATTAGTTAGATAGAACTTTTACTTGATATACACTGCTGCATTTTCTCAGTCTCCTCTGCATGCATTTACAGCACCATGGCAGATGTGCTGTGAAATCTGTGGTGTAGCAAATGCCACTGTTCTTTCACAGGAGACAGCCACTGAATTCACAATGAAATAGATAATAAAGTTAAAAAGCATTAGGAAAGTAGGTTTGGGGTATATAATTATAGCTCCTGTTTTATGGAATGTGTTATTTGTGATGTTTTAATTGGGATAGGACCTGGTTTAATAGATGTTTTTAAGCAAAACCCTGGGATAGTTAATGGGTTAACTTGTTGTTAAGTTGTCGTTTCTAAGTACAATGCATAGAGAGGACAAAAGAGGGAATAAAGGTGACAAAAGTTGGGATTTTGAGGGTGTTTTTGTTCATTTGCTTGTTTCCACTAAATGAATCAGCAGTTAGATCCAGACACAAAAACCCAGTAATGGTCCATCAGATCACTGCTGTTTCTGTGGTATCACTCCTCTGACAGTACTCCCTGGTTTCTCCAGAACCTTCTTCAGAATTTTTTGAATTTACCTGTTTCCGGTCCCAAGGTAATAATATATTGCATATTTTGCACACAGTGTCTGTGATGAGAGATTTGTAAAATGAGCTGGGCCGGGCAGACCAGCACCTCTGTCACGTGCACAGCTGCTGTGCCACGCCTGTGGCACACGGTCGGTAGAAGAGCTGTGCTGGCTCTTGAGAAGTTGCTCTGAAAAGCCTGGACAGGGGAGGAGACAAACCAGGGTGAGTTACAGAGGCTCAGAAAGAACGTGGCCAGGTCAACTCTTTAGCGCAGCGGAGTCTCAGGTAGACATTTTTTATCTGTGACCGTCGTGTTTTTCTTCCTTGCTTCTGACTTACCTGGTATGTGTCCTTGCACTCTCTTAAATGCAGATTTTTTTTTTCTTTTTTATAGCTTATAGGATGCAGGAGCTAGGCAACTTTTGCTTTTTAGAGCAATGGAGATTTCTCCCTTGATGTATGAGGCTTAGGTTCAGGCCTTTAGAGGAGAAATAATTTTCCTGTAGGAGGAGCAGTAGAGAGGCATCATGTTTCCACAGTTAAGTGCTTCAGGCCGTGCTACTG